TTTGACAAAGTTAGGTTGTGGCAAAAAGGCCCATGATGTACAGGGAAATAAACGAAAGAAGCTAGCTAGCATATATATGCCATGCACACGCACACACATCGATCCACATACATGTCTCTTGTTCTCAGAGCATCACACACACCACCACCCCAGCCGATCCAGCATGCGTGATCGATCAATCTAGGCTAATTAGGTCGCCCACATGCACCTCGTGCAGTGAACGACACGATCTCGGTAGGACTCCGACTCGATCCTCCGAACCGATCTCTGCAATTTGCAGGTGGCTCTGCAGAAACGGGAAACGTAGGGGAGGCCCGGAGGCCGGAGCCCGGAGGCGAGACTCGAGAGAGGGATAAGAAAGGAGGCGAGCGCGTTGCCGAGCCGAGCGGGATGCCCGAAACGAGACGGTGAAAGCGTCGGGAGATCACGATGAGATCGCCTCCAAATCGCAGGAGATTTGCAGGGAGGGAGAGGCAGCGAAAGGCTGAAAGCTCTCCTTTCTTGTGGTGTGGTGGTGGGGGCCGGCTCAGCTAGCTATAGCTGGGCAGAGCTGGCTGCCCCTCTTGTCTTGGCTCCATTGAAATGCTTCTGCGTGGCCCCCGTCTCACTGGCCAGGACCCAGGATTAGGGAGGTTAGGCCATTTGGGGTCTATCATTGTGGTCTCTCTATGGAAACCTTGTCAGGCTCAGGTCCACTAGATAGGGTTCCTCCCTTTGATGGAAGTACATGATGTGCACTACAGCTTATGGTTCCATTTGTTTTTTAAAAAAGGACACGTTATATAAACGTAGGTGTTCACACGCACATCCTATCACAATAAATATGTTCGAAATACTGGACCGACATATCTTGAGTGGTTTGTTTTTAATCCCTCAATGATTTGGGTTGTTAATTGGATTTTGGGCGAAAATACTTCTAGGCGATCTAAATGTTAAGACAGTTTATATGGTTAATGGAACAAAGGAAATATGCTACTCCCTTCGTCCCAAAATAAGTGCAGTTTTAGCACTGTTTATGTCTAACGTTTGACCGTTCGTCTTATTTGAAAAAAAATTATAATTAGTATTTTTATTGTTATTACATGATAAAACATTGATAGTACTTTATGTATGACTAATTTTTTTTTAATTTTTTCATAATTTTTTCAAATAAGACGAACGGTCAAAATGCTAAACACGGATATCTATGGTTGCACTTATTTTGGGACGGAGGTAGTAAGAGATAAGACCGTGCTTCATGCTGAAGACTCTGATTTTTTAGCTCCAGTTCATACAGAAGAATGAATTATTTAGTGCTCTTTCAACTAAAATTAACAATTAACATAACTAATTAACAATTTGTTCGAAATTACTTCTGAAAGTTCTCAAACCATACCTGAATAGGTTCAATAAGAACTTCACTTGCTCAAAATAGAGGAAATCGGCAATAGTACTACATATTTACATGTGAGTTTTGAAGTTTCATGGGACCACGACTACTCACTGGAATCCTTTTACAAAAAACAGTACACTGGCAAGTTGTACGTGCCATCAATAGAAAGCTCTAAAAGTAAGTGGCCAAGATCCCAGCGGAATCTGAATTCAATTGTTCTTTTATATTTTTAATTTGCTTTAAAGTAAAGCTTTGTTACTTATTTTTAAAAACAAATGTTTTAGTCATACCACCCAAGGTTGGGTATGCTATAGCAAGTTGCAGTAGCACAAAATATTCATGCCATGGCAACAAAAACCAAGATACTTTATGCCACGGTCATATGTTGGTGACACCAGCTTTGTACGTAGGGTTATTCTTTAGAAGTCTGGTTTATTGGGATTAATGGGGAATAACCCTATACCTAAGGTGTACTATTGAGAAATAACCCCATACCTAAGTTGTTTATAAACTAATGTAATAAACAACTATTATGCCCCCATAGCAATGCCAATCCCATAAGAAAGCCCCAAGGGCAACACAATAATTTTTCGTTACATATGAATAAATAGGACCCTCAAGGGGCAAGTGGGAGGAGGGTCTCCCATTGAACTGCCATCATCACTCTCTTCCTCTCGTCTTCCCTCCTACGAGTCTAAACTTGAGCTCCCTTCGAGAGAGGGGCGTCCTTGTTATGCATGTTAGATTTTGTTTCAATATTGATGCAATGGTTGCAGTGTATTATAGTTGGAGATGGTGGTGAAAGTGTTTTTTTTTACGCAAGGTCCTCGGTATCGATATATTCTTAGAATTGATGGCCATTAATTCTCATGTAATCCACTATGTTTTATCTTTGGGTGCGTGTGAGTTGGTTGTATGCATTCTTATCTATACCCAGTGGTTATTGTCAGTAAATCATTTACCCCTTAAACTTCTTAATATTAAAAAAATAAAATCTAAATAAATAGTCATGTACAAAATTATATTAAGATAAATATTTTCTATATTAAAAAGATGGGTAACACATTAATGCATCTTATTTTATATGTAGCAAATCACGGGCAAGTAATTATGCAAAGGTTGGTAGTGTTCTTAAGACAACCGTATCATCTATATGTAATTTACTATGTTCAATAAAGTTTTTCAATTATACGTGCAAATGTAGGCAACCCCAAAACAAAATCAATATTGAAACGATATTTAGTCAATTTTTTTTAAAAAATAAAATAAAATATACAAAACTGCAAATATTTTAATCAAACTATTTCAAAATTACAGATTTAAAATAATATATAATAAAGATATGGATTTATTATCAAAATTATTATTAAACTACGGGTTCAAGGCAGGCTATCATAAGACTAGAGATTTAGTAATAAAGTTATCACAAAACTATATAGAGTTATTGCTAGCACTATTACCCTGTGATATTATAAGTGTTGTAGTTTGGTGATAATACTGCCACTAAACCTACAGTTTTGCAATATTATTACCCTTATTTGATCATAGACTTAATGTTTAATTTAATTTTGTATACACTATTTTAATCTTATAAATTTCTAGTAGTACAATAGTTTGGTTAAGAAATTAAATTTTTTACAAATTTACTTACAAAATACATTGGGATATAAATTTTTTTCTTAAATTATATGTTTTACATTTATAAGTAATTGATTATATGAAATGCAATTGATAGATATGAGTTCAACTAAATCATCACACTTTTGTTTTTCTTCCCTTTTATTATCGTAGTTAGAACTTTGCCAACCCCTTATAAAAATTATATTTTACCCTACATATATGGCTTTCCTTTTATCATCGTAGTTAGAACTTTGCTATCCCCGTATAAAAATTTTATAAGTAATTTTTCCCCTACATAAATGAAGAAGTATTCACTATGTTATATTACACTTTTAAGGGTAACATGATATGTTGCTTGGTTTTAACGGAAGTCCATTGACGACAATGACAAAAAAAAATGCTTGTGGGATGCTATTTCATAGAAGTAATATTTATTGATGGCAATTTGTAAAACCAATCACTTGTCAAAATGTAAAATTTCTCAATATATTATATTGGAAATAAGTTATCTTAAAACATTTTCTTTAATAAAAAGTTCTAAATACTTAACCAGAAAAGTCAAATCTAAAATTACAGATACTTTACCTAAATTATTACAAAACTAAATATTATTTAAAAGTTAAGTAAATTTTATAAAACTAAATATACTTTGATCAAATTATCACAAAACTACATATTTAAGATGATATAACTACATATTTAACAATAAATTTATCACAAACATAGGGTTTAAGGCTAAGTATCGCAAAACTACAAATTTAATGATAAAACTATCACAAAACTAAAGATTTTGGGGTTTAAATCCTTAACGCTAATGCTGTGTTTGAGCTATAGATATCAAAGTTTTGTGATTTAATTTATTTTAACACTATAGTTTTGTGACATTTCACCTTAAACACATAGTTTTGTGATAAATTTAGTGTTGAATATGTAGTTTTGTGATACATTGTTTTAAACCTATAGTTTTGTGATAATTTAGCCAAAGCATATGTAGTTTTGTGAAATTTATTCTTAAAAGTTTGTGTAGGAGAACTATACACTGATTTCGGTTAAGTAAGTTATAAGATGTTTTGCGTTCCATCCTCACATGTATAATTAGTGAACGAGTTAATACTTCTACAGATTTGCAATAACCTGATAATAAAATAGGCAATTGTAAGTAAGTTAATGTTTTGAGCTCCATCCTCACATGCACAATTAGTGAACGAGTTGGTACTCCTACATACCTGCAATAACCTGATAATAATATAGACAATTGCATGTAAGTTAATGTTAATATTTGAGCTCCATCCTCACATGCACAATTACTGAACGAGTTGTACATGAGTTGGTACTTCTACATACCTACAATAACCTGATAATAATATAGGCAATTGCATGCAAGTTAATGTTTTGAGCTCCATCCTCACATGCACAATTACTGAACGAGTTGTACTCCTACATACTTGCAATAACCTCATAATAATATAGACAATTGCAAGTAAGTTACAAGTTGTTTTGTGGTTCATCCTCACATGTACAATTACTAAACGAGTTGTTGCAAGTAAGTTACAAGATGTTTTGAGCTCTATCCTCACATGCACAATTACTAAACGAGTTGGTACTCTTACAGAATTGTAATAACCTGATAATAAAATAGACAATTGCTTAAAAAAGATGCCACAAGTTTTTCTTCTATAAACTTTTAAATGTAACTACTTGTAGTCTAACTATAATGTAATTTGTACTATAGTGTAATTAAACTGTATAACTATATTATTATCTCTATATAACTTAGTATAAAGTTTCATACTTTTTAATTTTCTTTGGAGAAACACAGTACAAACAGTACAAACGCAGACGCTCATAACGCGCGCACGCTCACCCCTATGAACATACATCCTACCCTTACGAGTGCCTCCGAAAAATTGAGACGGCATATCATGAGATTAAATTTTAATACTTATAGTTAATTGTAGTATAATTACGGTAAAATTATATTACAATTTAAAATTTTTCCATAAAAAAACTTACGGTATTTTTTTAAGATAGTCCCATAAAATATTTACAAAACTTTGTGAAATTTACCTTTTTAAAAAATCCCCAAACCGCAAACTGACAGTTTCCCAAAAAAAAAAACTGAGTCCAATTATCACGGGGGCTTAGGTGGCTTCACTCTGAACTCTCTCACAGCCTCGGTGTGAGATCGGATGAGAGGGAGCCTTGCCCCTGACATTTCGGCCCCATTTTCTCCTACAACCTTGGACAAGAGAGGAGAGGGAGAGAAGGGAGGCGCGTGATTCGATCGAGAGAATAGGGAGCAAAGTGGAGCGAGGGTTTGGGCGGCAAATCAGCCGGGCGGAAGGAACAAGATTCCTTCGACGACGACGATCTCTCTATCTATCTGGATCTCCTCCTGCTCCCCGAGTCTCCCGCTCCTGCCACCACTCACCGCTCGCTCCCACACTCTTCGCCCTATATATATACCCCCTCCTCCATCGATTCGGTAGCCTGCCACATCCGTGCTTGCATGCGGCTCAACTCCTCTTGTGTTCCTCCGAGAACCACGCCTCCATCGATCGATCGTCTGCGATCCTTGTCACGGCTTGAACTGTGATCAAGAAACGCCTTTCTGATCGATGCGCGGTTGATTGATCTTGGTGCGGACGGAGGGAGAGAGAGAGATGGTGCAGGAGCACGGCGGGAGTAACCACCTGCAGCAGCAGCATCAGCACCAGCTGGCGAAGTACGGCGGCGGTGTGGCTGGCACCGGCGTGGCGCGGGCGTCGAGGAAGAACAAGCCCAAGAAGGTGCCCCAGCGCGGCCTCGGCGTGGCGCAGCTGGAGAAGCTCCGGATCGAGGAGCAGAAGAAGATGGAGGGTGGCGCCGCGTTGTCCTCCCACGGCGCGCTCGGCGGCGGTGATGGCGTCCTCGGCCACCTCCCTCCTCCGCCGCCGCCGTCGCTCGCGTTGAGCGCCCTGCAGTCGAGGTCCGCCGCGGACGGTGGCTTCCCGGCGGCGCTCTGGAGCCCAGTGGATCCCATCAAACACCCGTACAAGAGGAGCCTGTGCCCACAGCCTCCATCCCCGATGGTACGTGTCTTTCTCAAACCTCTCCGTGTCGCGGCGCGGCGCGCACCCGCCGGCGTGGTCTGGTCTCAAACCCGCTCAAATCTCTTTGGCTGATCAGGTGAGCACGGGCCTGTCGCTGACGGCGTCGGCGCGCCACCCAACGGAGCCCCCTTCAAACCAAATGTACAGCAGCAGCGGCAGCAGGAGCAGCGCCGCGGCGGCGGAGGAGGAGAGGGTACGTCTCAAGCCTCGCCGCGTGCCGAGTGATTGCGTCTTTGATGGTCGCTAAATGTGAGCTTGGTTAGAGGTTTTGCAGGAGACGGGCGGCGTGGACAGGTCATGGCCTTTCATGTTCAAGGGCATGGCCGCCTTCAGGACGACGACGAGCAGAGCTCCTCCTCTGGTGGCGCCTTTCTCGGCGAGGACGACGACCACCGGCGAGCTGGCAGGGTTGGCCGATGTTGGTCCTGACCTGAGCAGATACGAGTTCAGAGCAACAAATTATTTCAGGTAGATTTGCAATGCTAATTAACTTGTTGATTGATTCTGTGCTTTGTATCTTCGAAACAAAGATTCTGTTTTTCTTTCAGAAGTACAATCATTCATTAAAAAAAGTGAATCTTTACTCGGTTTTCTCTTGCTCTGCTGGAGCTGAACTAGTTATTTCATTTGCATCACTGCAAAGTATTTCACCGTTTTTGTTAAATCTTACTAGGTTTTCTCTGCCTTTTTTTTTCTGAACATGAGTTTTCTGTGTCCCAACAACATAGTAGCAAAAGGCAAAGACCAAACGAATGAACTTGAATACCTTGTTTTCCTTGAAAAAAAGAGTAGCACATTCGGGTGCATTCTTTTCTCTTTTCGAATTGGATTCTCACGGATAATTTGATTTTACTTTTGATCTGTGATATGCAGTGCCAATGCAAATTATTCAGACTGGACATCTGACTTTGCTCACTGCAAAAGCAGCAAGGAGAACGGCCGTGCCAGAGACCCTGCCTTCCTCACCTTGAGCTCACAGCCTCCACACCTCCTCAAGCAGCCTCATGTGGTGCCATCATACAACGACTTCAGTGCCATGGCATCTCAGGCAAGTGAATGATATGCTCTACCATATTCTGAAACCAGTAATGTGTGACTTGGCTGTGAAATTGTGGTGGACTAACTGATGATGAATGTGAACTTCAGGGAAGCAACATTTCATCATCGTCGTCGCAGCCATTCTACAGCTTCCTTCCAGTCGGTCCGGTTCGTTGCGAAAGGACCTTGAGCGAGTGCAAGACCGATGTGTCTGAAGGCGTCGACTTAGAACTGAAGCTAGGAAATTGCTGAACTGAACTTGTCCTGTTGCTTTCTGAAAAAAAAAAACTGCAATGAGGTTTACCCAATTACCCTGTTGTGTGAAAAAAAGTAGAAACTTGTTTAGTCAGTAAGACCAGATGTATAATCAGTTGCTTCTAGAAGATGCTTTCCCTCCCAATAATCATCTGCTGATGGTTTACTCTGTCCCCAGTTCATTTCTAGCAAAGCAAAAGAGTGTGCATAATGGAAACATGAAGCATTTATATTACACACATGGGTCCAGATAAGATCGCGCCAAATGTAGTAGAAACTCAACAGAAAAGGGTGTCAGATGAATACATCATGTGGTGTTGATGCAGCAACAGTTTCAACAAGGAAATGAGAGAGCATGTGCTGGATGGGCAATACAGCTAATCTGTGGGGTCTGTTTTTTCACAGATCTAGCACAAGGCACAGTAGAAAACTGAACATTTTCAGACATAGATGATGTGTGTGCCAATTAGAAATTCAAAAGGGTTTGTGTAGATGTAAGATGTAATCTACGGTTGCATTGCAAGTTGATTTTTGTTCACATAAAGGGTAAAGTCTTAGCAGAATTCTAAAACTGTCAAGGACGCCAATTCCAGAAATAAGCTTGCTTGGTTACTTTCAGGCAACTCTCAATTTATATATTATGCTCATCTCTGTTCAAGATCAGGATAAACTAGAACAAATGGGAACCTTAGGATAGGCACAAGTTACAATGCACAGCGTGAAGTGCAGACAGATAAATTACAGGGAGATAAATTTACAAGATCAAACCGAAGAAAAAGTAACCGTCAAAAGCAGGAGTTCAGATGCATTAGCTTATGAAGCAGAAGTTCAGAAGCATTTGCTTATGACCAGCCAAAGACGAAGTCGAGGATGTAGACGACAACGAGCGAAAGCGGGTAAAGCATGTACGCCACCAGACAGGTCCAGAGCGGGAATGTGGTTCTGAAGCTTGTGAAGAGTCCCATGATGACACAGACGAGCAGTATGATGAGCACCTCCGATGAGAAGTCCCATGTCAGGTTCCTGATGTAGATGAGCGCCAAGAACACGCCCAAGCACAGCGTGTTGTTCATGGTCACACCACCATATACCTGCAAACAAAGAATCAAACGCTTAGAATCAGTAACATTTTTGTGTAGATTTAGAAACTAGAAACGGTTTAGGAAGAATAACTGCTTCTATAATGTACCTCAGAGAAAGTAAGGGAACTGGTCCGTAGCTTCTTCCTGCTAGCGAAGATGATGGCAGACACAGCCTCGCTGGAGTTGGTCGCCAGCGGGAGGGCGATGAACGAAATGAAGAAGGATGGGATGTGCGAGGCGTTGGAGAAGTTGTGGACAGCATCAACAAGCGGGTCTGCGAATGCAGCAGCAATGGCACTGCCGAGAAGCAGGAGTCCCACGGCTTTGGTGATGCACCAGCCAGGGTTCTCAACGCTCTCAACTGTCTCGTCAGATCTGTCCACCAGAAGGTCGTGTTCCTGCCTTGTTCTCTGCAGAATTCAGACATTTTTTCAGCACTTAAATCTCTAGACGTCTGAGTCACATTCCTATATCTGAATCTTTTCGTGTATCGCCTGTCTAAGTTATGCTACTTGATATAGATTTTCAGAAACTAAAGCACTAGAGGAAGGAAAATATATACCGCATGGTAATCAGTGATGAACTTATTGGAATAGGCACCACTGGTAGGGACGCTGCGCTTGGCCTCATTAAGCCATCTCTTCATCCCCGAGACAAACTCTGCCTCCTCGACGATATCATTGCCTGACGTGTCAAAGTCATCCATGATCTTGTCAACAGCGTCATTCTTGTCAAAGTCAACCTCCTCAAAGTTGATACCAATGATAAGTGCATGAAGCTCAGCACGGGACAGGGTTTGGCTCTCATCCATGTCAATCTTGTGGAACAACCTGCGTGTGAGGATATACAAGGTTCATGTCAAGTTCACGAGCTTTCTGTTGGCATATCAAGAGAATCAAAATGTCTAAGCACCCACTTTTTTATGACATCTTCATTGGGTGTGCCATCCTCATTAAGCAGCCGCCCGAGCGCTTCCATTTGGGCATGCCTGAGGATTCCGGAGATCACATGCTTGTGTTTTGCGTATGCAAGCTTCCTCTTCTGAATCCATGGCTGGAAAACCTGATGCAAAACGCAGAACCTAACAGTCAAAATCTAGAGACAAGAGTTTCCAATCTATGCCATCGTTTCAGGAGGCTCAAGTGTCCTTAAACATAATTGTGCTTACCTGATAAAGGCAATAGGCAAGCACAAGCGAGAATGATACGATAAGTGCCAGCAAGACAGCTAGGCGCTGTCCGTGGTGGGTCTTCAACATTTTGGGGAATTGAGCAATGATAAAGGGAATAACAGAAATCCCCATGATCCGAGCTGCATAGCTGGTTTGGACATCAGTTGAAATACCAGTGCCTGCAAAAGAAAATTTGTGCATCTTACATTCAATATATACAGAACCAGTAGGTCAAAGCAGTGTAAAGGTAAGGTTAACATAGTGGTGGCTTGTGGTTTTTAACATGTTAACCAGAACCTCCAAATTGAATGCATCCTTACAAAGAAGCAGACAAAGATCAGTGTTTGTAATTTAAACTCCATTCTACTTTAGGATTTAGATGTAACAGGATCAACAATTATCAGAAAGACTACATTAATAACAATGTTAAATACAAGAAGGCAATTTACCAGTCAAGCTGAAGCCCTTGTTGTTCTGTAAATCAACTGCAACGCCATTTGGACCAATGTCACACTTGCCAACAACAACACAGGTTCCCCACAGAAGGGTGAGAAGAAAGACGGTCGAACCAGCAAGCAACCCCATTCCAATCAGGACCTGACTTTGTGCGGTCTCTCTACTCCCGGACAGACCAGACACTGTTAATGTGACAGAACAAAGAGATCAGAACTCTAATTGGATATAGTTGGATATTCAGAGCAGTAAAAGGTGAGTAGCTTCATGATTGTAGCATATGTACCAGGAGAAATCTGTTTTGAGCAATATGGATATGCAAAATGTCAAAATCTGCATCATACCATAATACAAGATCGGTGGTCAAAATCAGAGAACTGGTTTTTATAGGAGTAAATATTCTTTTTATTAATGGCACAGAAGAACATTGATGTTTAGACTTAAGAGTGGCAGAGCCAGAAACGCTAAAAAAAATGGTTGAAGAGGGCCAACAGTGCTAGTTTTTTCAAAGTATGCCAAAGCTACAGTAAATTTAGTGTGAAATTAGAATCCATGGGGGAGGACACACGCCTGTCTCCGCCCTAGGTAAGACTGGTAAGGTGGAAAACAAATACTAATAGAGCAAAATTTCTAGAATAATGAGTTGATCAAATGTAGCATTATCATATAAAAAAGGTGTACCAGCATCCACATTTAAGTCTATAGGCAAGTCCTACATCGGTAGAATACATATTTCATTTCAGATCTCATTGCGATCAATGAACCATGTGCAGCCATGCTATCATAGTAAAGTGTAGCCAAATCAGTATTGTGTTCTTTTTAATGAATGAGTACCTGAAAATGAGCAGATAGCTACAAATTTCACTAATATTAGAGCAATATTGCCTATTATCTATGGAGAATTAGAATCTTTATGGCACACGAAAGGATTTAACGAAGAGGGTTTCCTCTTATAAAAGTTTATGAATCTTAGAGAGTAGTTAAAAAAAACGTTAATCACTATTTCCTATGTCGCAAAATAAGTTTATTTTTCACTCATCCCACATGTACCAACACAAAATAAAAAAGACTAGGATACTCCCACTATATCAAATCCCAACATAATTATTACTTGTACTATTTTATTTTTTTGCTCGCTCTGGTCTGCATTGCACGGTTTTTCTTTTCTCAAATCAAATTCCGGCAGAGCTCCTGCCGTCAGTTTCCTCAAAAAAAAAACATAATTATTACCTACTTTATCTACTTACATTTATTTCCTATTTTTACAAACTCCGATGCAATGATTTCTTAAAGATAAATTTATATTGGGATAGACGGGAGGAGCCAAAAATGAACTTATTGTACAACGGAAGGAGTACTTCAGTACTACTACGTCACAAATGTTTACCGTGATAGTTCAAGCATGTGATTAGTATGATCTGCTATTTTCACGTGACAAGATCGGCAACGGTCTTGAAAGAAAGACGGAACCGAAAAAGCATAATTTCTGGAAAGCTAAACTCCAACGGTCCAACCACTCTATCCAGTTGCACAACATGTTGCCTTTCAATGTGTTCAGTTAAACTACAATAATTTGGTTGCATACAATTTTACAAATATATAATTTGGAACTTTGGATGTAAAATTCTATGAGTAAAATATCAAATCTATGCCCTATTAATTTCCTCTGAGGACAAACCATCGTATTTGCTACGTACAAGAATAGTACAAGATAATGCAACACAGTAAAAGTGCATATCAAAGCAAGTCGATCACTTGATCACATCCACTAATCAGATAGGTGCAACGCACAAAGAAATATTCCATACAAAAAGGGTCAATTATGCAAGAACGTAATAATGAAAAGTAAACAGAAAAGGGGAAAGGTCAAAATGACAGGACAAGCACTGGTGGAACTTTATCATGCTAGCTTATCTGACACATTTCAGAGAAAAAGCAGAGCTCAGTAGAACTAATTCCTCGAATAAGCAGGAGGTTAATCAAAAGGCATATATACTTTGCTAGAGCTTATACTCTGTTTTTCTTTTCTTTTGAAATAGTAGAACATACTCTGGTTCAGTCACAAGACTAACAGAAACTTTAGATCTGAAGCAAACCAAGAACAGACAAATCTCTAAATTTACGGATATGAGTTACTTTTTTACCCTTCATAAACACGCAAGATTTTACCAGTGCTAATTCCAAGAAAAACTTTGCATCCTCGAATGTTAAAAAATTCAAAAGTTTCACTATAAAATCCAAAAGTCTTACTGCTAGAGTGAGTGAGAAGAAAGCCTGAATAAGTCCTAAACCTCAACCAGAGAGTAGGCAACCGATCGAATACTTGTCGGTTCATCAAAGAACAGAAGAGGCTAACGAAGGAAACAAACCGAAATACGAGCTCACCGAGGACGAGGAGCGCGTCGGGGAGGGCGCCGAGGATGGGGAGGAGGAGGCCGCCGACGAGGCCGGGCCCCATGATCTCGAGCAGCAGCTCACTGCCGGCCGACAGGAAGGTGGCCGCCTTGTACATGAGGAACCCATACGCGAGCACCAGGAACAGGTTCCCGAGCACGGTGGTGGTGCAGGGGAGGAACCCGTACGACTGCTCGCACTTCTCCTCCGGGGCGGCGGCCGGCGGCGAGGAGGCGGAGGCGGAGTTGGAGGTGGTGAGGCGTATCACGGCTGACACGGGGTTGGAGAGGAGGGAGGTGGCGGACGCCGAGGCCGGCGAGCCGTCGGAGATGAGGCGTCCGTACGCGGCGGCGGCCAGGAGGAAGAGGAGGAGCGGGACGAGCGGGAAGGAGCGGCGGCGAGTCGCCATTGCGGGAGGCGGCCGGAGGCGAGGGGCTTCTCGGGTAGGGATGGGTTTGGTGCGCGTAGCTTTATATAGTGCGATCTGTGCGATATTTGATTTATGTATTTCTTTCCTTAATTAATTTAGTAGGAGTACTACTAGTTTATAATATAGTAATATTTTTTTGTGTGTGTGTGGATCAACGGCAAGGAGAGGCTGTCTGGCTGAAGAGCCGGATCCAATGATCATATGTACGCCTTGGTTAAAGTGGTTCGTTATACATTCCTTACCTAGCGATCTGTACGCTTTAACCTTTCCAACTAGAGTAAATTCCCTTTGTACTCCTGAAAACTCACTTAATTCCTTTTATATCTCTGAAATTTACCCGATCCCTTCTATACCCCTGAAATTTTAATTTGATTCCTTGTATGCCCTCACCGTTACATTTTCCATCATTTCACTGTTACGTTTGGTTGCAAATGTCATTTTTACCCTTGATGCTTTAGGTTTAAATATAAGCTTCAAAAACAATTGAAAATTTTATTTGAGTGCACAGTATGTGTATTTTATAAAACTAATGGGACTAAATAATTAGTGCAGAAAATTTTGACATAAATTTTGAAAATAAAATAAATGTAATAAATTAAATTTTTTATTTGAAATTTTAATAGGACAATGGATTTTTTTATCAGGAGCATTCATAAAAAAAATGTTGTGAACATGGGTAGTCCTATCTTTATATGAATGCCCCTCATTTTTATGACTTCTTTTAAAAAAATAAATACGTATTTTTCTATTTCATTATCTAAAAATATTTTTTGGGATAAATAATACATCGCACAACAAACTCATAACTATAATAGTCTCATGCGAGAAGCTTTTATATTTTTAATAATGTAATTCATGAATTTCTTTCTTCATCCAAGGGTATAATAGTCATTTTTATAGAAAATACACGGTCAACTGACGGGAAGGGTATGCAAGGGATCAAAATCAAATTTTAGGGGTACACAAGGAAGTAAGCAAAATTCAAGGGTATAGAAGGGATTAGGTAAAATTTCAGGGGTATATAAGGGATTTTCTCTTCCAAGTAACCACACTCAAACAATCAAACTATGACATGTTATACATACGCGTATAAAAACTATGGAAGGTGCGAAACCATATTTTGGCCTATTGTGTGCAGAAATTACCATGAGCTTAAACATTGAAAAATTGTGAACAAGGCAAATCTATAATTTGAGGTTTCACAAAAGAAAAAAAACTAGAATTTTAAAATAATGCTTTGGTGCGAGCACCTGATACTACGAGAGAGGAATGTGTGGATCTTTTTCTCTTTCGCCCTCAATCTCATCAATCCCTTTCTGCATGGACGACTAGGAATTCGTGGGTGGCTAGTAGCTTGGAGTTGTGGTAGGGGAGAGCACCTATGCCCCTATTGTAGAGTTATGGCGACCAATCACGTATAACGGTGATTAGCTCGACGTTAATTCTTTTCTTAAGCTAGTATCTGAGAGTCACCAGTTTCGTGGTGGCGGGTTTTTTCTTTTTTTCCTGATTGTAGCATTTCAGGGTTGTAATTTTATTTTTTTAATGCTACATTAAAATGAAATCTCACACCTATCTTGTGTGGTTCGTTTCAAAGAGAAAAAAAAATACACGCATCATGTCAGCCATTTCTCCGCTATCTTTTCTCTCTCTTCACCTCTGATCCCTTCTCTCTTCTCTCTCCAGTCTTCATCCCTATTCTGGCAAGGTTGCTCATGCGGCTACAACACATAACTATAACGACGGTGGCAATAACTACTAGTGACGAGCTTGAGGTGGCTATTGCAGCTATGATGACGAGCTTCTCACAAAGTAGTGCCTATGACAATGATGAGCAATGGCGGCAGTCGCAAGTTGGGGCATGCGGATGCCCCGATCTGGTACTTGTGAAGCTTGGGGCTACCGGATTCGATGGTAGTATCACTTAGGGATGCTCGATCCGACATCAGTGAAACTCTTGAGACGCTAGACTAGTGGTGATGGAGCTTGGGAGGTTCCTCCTTTGTAATACGTGCCTAGCAATAATTCCCTGCAGGCTGAATGGATAAAAAAAAAGCCATTCATTATCCAAGCAATATAAGGCAATCAAACACACCCTTAATACTTTTATGATGAGCACAGGAACTTAGAATATATGTTCAAGAAATTTGTTCCTCAGCTCTCCGGAGGATAGATCCTGAATTTCGTTTTAAGAGTCCATTTGGCTCAATAATGTGCATAAACGATGCAAAAATTATGGCTCGGCCGCATACGTGGCCATAACTGGCAAAGAGATTAGCTTTCTAAATCAAACTGTGGGACCCGCTGATTTATTTTGATGTTTGTTTGAGATCTTTGGATGGACCGTGGAGGATCCAGAGTTCACACTGCTGCCACATATAATTTTTTAGAATCAGATCCTAATTTCTCATTCCCAAATAAACCGAAAGTTCAGCTCTTTGAGCTCAGAAATTGATATATCGTCTTGCTCTTCTCTTTTCTTGCGAGGATAGCTTTGGCATTTGGTCATTTAAGTCCTACTATCCTTAGCTTCGTTGCTATATAAAAGCACAGTGGTACATGATCGTGACTCGGTGATGCCAACAGGCAACAAGTTATACGACAATAACATGGCGATTTTCAATGCTTTTTTTTTCTTTCTGAAGACCGTGTCACCGTGTGTAAAGCCTGACCCCGCTGGATGTTTGACAAAACAAGTGCTTATAGATCTGCTTATGCACTGCATTAGCAACTGGATGCAGACTGCTTGTATAAGCTACGAATTGCTTTTATAAAAAATAAAAAACTAGGATGGTCATGCAACCCACCAACAATTGGTCGAGATGGACAAATAAAAAACAAAGGCAAATCGCTCTTGCAAGTGCAAATTTTTAAACGGAGGCAACTAAAATCTACTCCTATATTTCAATTAAGACTCTGTTCTTCCCTCTTCTTTCTCAACTCATATCTCTCTCTTTTCTTTTTTTTTGTTACGTACGCTTTTCAAACTGATAAACAATACGATTTTTTTGCAAAGTTTTCTATAGAAAAGTTGCTTCCGAAAATCATATTAATCTATTTTTCAAGTTTTTAGGCTACACTTAATTAATCACGTGTTAATAAGCAACACCGTTTTCTATGGGAGTACTTTTCAGGTCACTCATGTTCCAGCTGATTGGCGCTGCATGTGTCCGCACAGTAGGCACCTTGTTTCTATAATTAATAATTTGGAGTGATCTGATCCTGAGGAATAGATCTACCACTCTCATCCAACAGATCAGCAGGTTCATCAGTTATTTTATTATTATTATTATTAAACTTATTTTTTAGATCTTAACTTGTGCCGTTAGTCCAGGACAATCCAGTGCTCCATCCATCCATCCATGTGCTATTTCAAATCTATTTACAAATAGGCGAGTTATGTATGCCATCTTAGCAAAACACAAGTAAATTCCCAATCCCGTTGGTTATTCTTTTCAAAAAATGGATTGTTGTTTTTTTTCATTATATTTTTTTTGAACAATTAAAATAAAACTCCCTCTAAAACATATGTTGTTTAAAACAGTTGAATTGACCTGCGCTTAGTAGAATTTGTGTGCCAAAAACGACAATTAATATTCACCGGAGGAAGTAACTCGTCTATGTACCAACTAAAGATATTCACAACCATATTTATGAAAATCAAGCTTTAAATCCCAATAGGTAGACTTAAGGCTTTGTTCGCTACTCTTGGTTCCCAACTCTCCTATCTCGTTTTCCGTGCGCACGTTTTTCAAACCGTTAAATGGTGCGTTTTTTAAAAAAATTATATATGAAAGTTGTTTAAAAAAATCATATTGATCTATTTTTTAAAAAAAAATAGCTAATACTTAATTAATCACGCGCTAATGGACCACTCCATTTTTCGTGCGCATTGTTTGGGTTGGGAAACAGACCTAACGAACGCAGCCACCTACAACCCCCTACCACACTTTCGGCATTTCCCCGGATTAAAAGAGAAGGGCGAAGCTTAGTACCAGGATCCAATAACCCTGGTGTCCTCTATATGAAACCCCTTATTACAAGAAAAGATAAAATCATGAGAATTCACAAGTAGTGTATGGTGAGCACGGTTCAATTCCTCGTCTACGCCCCCAAAGAGTTTGTTAGTGCAAAAGGGTTTTCTAAGGCTGGCATTTGGTTGCTAAAGTTCGTCGTGCACTCTAAAATCTTAGTCTAATGTACCATCTGTTCTATACACACAATTAGCTAAATCACAGTTTAGCAAACATTTTCTGGGCACACAACTGTTGTATGGCACTCTTTGCCAAAAAGACAAAAAAAAAGAGGTTAATTGGATCCATGCCACTGCAAATATGCCAATTCGAAAAAATATCACTACTATTTACAATATCGGCTACGTGCCACTGGAATTTGGGAAAATTGGAATCATGCCACTCCCATCCAGTTTTCTGTCAACCTCCATCATCTCTCTCCCTCTTCCTTTCTTTGCTTCTTCGCCATGGATGCCGGTAAGCCCTCCACCTCGGACTCGCTGGTCCTTGCCACTGCAGCTAGCAAGCAGTCCCCTCCATCTCTCGTTGCTCCTCCGCCGGCAGCAGCCATGACCCGTCCATTCCTCATCGTCCCCACCGGCGGACGCGACACCCTCGCCGTTGTCGTTAAGGGAATCAACGGCCGGGGCGCTTCTCCGCCATGGAGGCCGGCGAGCCCAGGAGGACAACGGCTAAGGGGAACGAGCGACCGGGGAGCCGAGGGTGAAGCTCAGCGGGACGAGCGGCACGGGGGAAGGAGGTCGGTGGTGGCAGCGACAAGGGTTGAGGACGGTGACGCGGCGGTGGCTGGGTGGCAACCGGCACAGGGGCGGTGGCCGGGGACCTTGCCGGGGGAGCAGACGATGACACTGTAGGCGCAGCCTGGCCTGCCGGCTCCGAGACGAGGGGCTCGACGACGACGACGCAAGCGCAGTCTGGCCTGCCGGCTCTGAGACGAGGCACTCGACGACGACGACGACGGCGCAGCCCAGCTCGCCGGCTTCGAGACGAGGGGCTCAACGATGATGACGACGCAGTGCAGCTCGACCCGCCGGCTCTGAGACGAGGCGCTCGACGATGACGACGACACAGCGCAGCCCCACTGGCTGGCTCAGAGACGAGGCGCTCAACGACGACGACGCAAGCACAACCCGGCCCGACCTCCATCTCTAAGATGACAACGGCGACGACACCTGCCGCGTCAATGGTGGTGGCGAGAGAGGAAGGGGAAATAGAAGAGAGGGGAGGGAGGTGGGGCCCACGTGCAATAGGGGGTAACGGGGATTTTTGACGGAAAATATGGAGTGGCACGTATTCAATTTCTCCAATTTTCAGTGGCATTTTTTCGAATTTCGAATTGGCATATTTGCAGTGGCTTGGATCCAATTAACCCCCCACCCCCCCCCCCCCAAAAAAAAAAAAAAGCCAACATCTGGATAAACACAATTTGGAGCACCATATTGGCAAATTGCTATTCCAACCCTGCAAGGTTGAAGGCACCGGGTCGCCTTCGACGATGTGTACCATATCATCTTTTCCATATAAACTATTCCGTACACTAATTTTCTTTTATCATTGACAAAATTTTATTGGCACAGCAGACAGATGGTCCTCTGGGACCCACATGTCAGTGGCTGACAGCACTACAGCTACGGCGGGGGACGGGATCCTCGGACTGCAGAAAAGGCAAGCTTTCGAACAAGGGTAACTAGTCTGTCACTCGCAGCTTTATGAAAGATAAGCTATACGCTGGCAATCCAAAAGAAACTACTCGGATTATTGATCGCTACAATAAGTAGCGTTGGATCCGCGGAATACACGCGTAACACGAATAAGAATCCCGTGTTATTATCCTGTCTTGTGCAATTGTTACTATTATTGAAAGTTGTTTATGACAGTCGGCACCAGCTGCTGGCCAGTAGCCAGTTCGTCCATTGTGACTTTTGCACCATTATAAATATCAACTGTAAAACATAGTGGTCAGTCATCACTACGATGATGAGATTTAGTTTGGTTGGTTTTGCTGAAACATTCTCTATGCGATCACCGTAAAAAGACTACTCCGTATTAATCTATATCCGCAGTCATGGTCTCATGGACCATGAAGTCCACTTTAATAGCGAGTTGGTTTGCAGCGGACATCAATTCTACTAATCAGTTTCCCTAAAAAAAAATCTACTAATGAGTTTGCTTTATCTGATATGCTTACGTTTGTCCTATTTTTGTACTAACCACCCCTTAAAATTCCGAATACGACAACATAACAAGCAAGATCAGCACCCACAGGTTATTACAATAAAATACTTTTTCAGGAATGAGATCTAGTGGCTCTCTTTTGCCTTTAGTCTTGTCGGCCAAATTCATCGATTCGTGCCGTAATCACGAGATAATTCCAGGTGGTCTTAATCAGAATGGTTTAGTTAGTTCCTTAACGCGGGTCTTACGCGCCAATCCCGACAGGTGCAGGGTCCATAGCTCCATCAAACCACATAATTCCTATATGACCTGTGGCATGTTTATCAGCAGAAAACGTGGCTTCTCTTTCCTTGCCGTTCCCATCACAGGACGAAAAAGTGTACCTCTGGCAAGTCGATCTCAAAAGTACAGATGGCTCAGGTGAGCCCATTCTGGTGGCCACGGCTGTGTTTTAAGGTCTGTTAGGGAAGCTTCCGGCTACTGCAATTTCTCTTAAAATCAGAAGCTCCCTAAATAATCTAGCTTTTGGTATAGTTCTGACAAGCTGTGGTTATAGAATCTAAAAAATAAACTAAAAACCAGAAGCTGAAAAAGCTTTTTCTAGATTCTCGAAAGTTGGCTACCAAACAGCCGCTTGTTAGAATTTTAAGTTCCCAAAACATGCCCTTAATGTGGTTCAAACTGAGAATAATGAAGACAAGCTTCCTCTTATTCTTCTTCTCTTTTTTTTGCAGGTGAATAAAACATATTTGCATACTTAACTGGCATATGGCTGGTTTACAGCCTGCACATTGCACAAAATAAAATTTTTAAAAGGTTATAATCGTACCCAAAATTGTATACATAACTAAAAGGATTCCATTAACCACCTGCCCATGCACATTGCGAAGAATTCCATTTTAAAAAATCTTACCAGAGAAAAAAATCATGCAGCAGCAAAAGAAACAGTTGGGAGTGAATTTTAAGTGTAAACACGATATCAGCTTCAACTCATTTTGAGTAAAGACGTGGGAATTTAAGACAGTAAACTGAATAAAATTAATGCTGATATGAAGGACTTATTAGTTGAGCTACCTCTGGTAAGCCATTGAAATGTGAAAACAAACAACAATAATTTATGAGTAAAGTAAAGCTTTTATATTTGTATTACTCATGGTTTAAAAATCAAAGTTTAAAAATATACTACGATAAAAAAAAACCTAAAATTAGCTATAAAATCAAGTTTTAAAATTTGGCTACAGCCAGCAAACAGACGATCCTATGATCTACGTTCCTGTCACACCACTAATCACAATATTTATCCAAAGATGAGAAATGACCCGCATCGACAGGACCCTTTTTTTCAACTTATCGATTCTAGTACCCTATCATAAAAGGGATGTCTCCAAATCCTATTCAGCCCAACCAATCTAATCCGTACATCAAATTATTTGCTTCAAGCATGTTTATGCATTCCTTTTTCTTTTTTATTTTTAATTGAGAATTCCTTTTGGTTTTTTGGCAATGAGCAACTGGATTGCAAGGTATGAGTTACTAAATCATAAGAGCATTAGATTATCTATACTATCCTAAAGAAGCTAATGGTGGTGGTGGTTCTATCACCCCCCCCCCCCCCCATCTATCTGACAAGTGGGGGCCACCATCTATCTTGTGGGCTCATCATTACTGACCAACAATGTACTAGAGTGAGAAGCTATATTTGCTTCATATATAGTGTACAACACATTGTTTATCCTGTCATTGTTAATCACAGAGTGATAATTTAGTTTCAATTAGAGCTCGCTGCAATGCACCGGTATTTTGCTAGTTTAGATAAAACATGCTGGCTGGTCATTCTAGGTTTGAGGGCTTACTAAATCTAGCTGTTCTTTACCTTGTGCTCAAGACATCTCACAATCACTGAGATGTTCTCCACTTGTCGAAAAAGGTGAAAGCAGGTTCTAAAAACAGCAACCCCAAGTCCCAAACTCCGTTTCTTATAGAGATATTATACACTTCGAGGCTTCTTTTCATATGTCCTTGACTTCATGCATAGTTCATTCTAAAGTAGTCAAAAGATCAGTCGGTTCATTATCCTATCGTTGAGAGAACACACACCTGCTAGCATCTATTTGCACGGAGCTCTGGGAGAAGCTGGTAGCAACAGGAGCCAAGTGGCAAGCAAACAACATGTTGCTCTCAGGGAATAAGAATCAGGGGCGGATGAACATATCCTATACCATCTACCACAAACAAGACAATGCTAAGCAAATGGATTGCTCTTATTGGCAGCTAGATACTTGACTTGCTTTGAAATAATGCTAGAGAATCTAGGTCCATGATCATTTATTTTGAACTGAAGTAAGAGTACAATGCAAATTAGAATGATGCTACTTGATTGGCAAGTAGATAAAGCTCTAACAATAGTAAATATTTTTGGTCTTTTACTCTTTAGTCCAATAAATTCTATCGCATCAGACTATCCCCACAAAAATGATGAAAACAATATACCCATGAGTTGCATATACCATGACGCAGGGTAACAGTGATTGTCATTAACAGAAATAATTCCTCTCTGACAATGCCACGACAACATTCATATTGCCACACAGATAATTCAACGCAGTACACTGCAGCAATATAGGAATAGGAAGGATATAAAGCTATGGCAGCTACTTTCCGCTGACATAGTAGAACTATCAGTCTACACGGCACGTACTCCTTTGCCTCCCAATGTGCCCTCAATAGATTAACACGAAAGCAGCTACCCTTAAAAGTGCTAAAAGTGCAAACCATCCAAGCACCCAGTTGAGTGCTAAAAGTGGTGAAACTCCATCCAACTACCCTTAAGTAATAAGTAGAATAGCCAAAAAGGGCAAAAAGGTGCAAAGATCAAGTTGCAGTTTTCTGCGATCAACATGGATAAACTTCACAAAATTGTAACTATGGAAGACGGTTGATAATGAGTAAACAGAAAGAAATAAAATTACCATCATATAGTTAGTGAAGGGCAGGATTGGGTGTCCGGAACTGATAAAAATGTGGTGCAGCTTCCGTAAGCCATGATGGTTCAATGGCAATAACATTACGCATATAGTGCTTATCAGTTGAAACTAGAGACTGGTAGATGACCCACTTTGGATTAACCCTAAAATGCAAGGAAGATGTCAAGAAGTCTATAGAAAAACTACATAACAAGAAAACCCATTACAATAAAATAGAATATTGTAATTAAACTCACCTAAATAGCACAGAAGAAGGATGAATATAAACTTCTTGTGAGGTCCTTATTGTTTTGTACATCCCATTCTGGCTGTATTCCTATAATATAGCAGAGAAAAGAATCATATAAAACTTAGATGAAGTACATATGTGCAAGAACACATCATTTCCACAGGAATTCAAATATATAGTTCAGATTTCTGTCAATTTTTCATAGCTATAGTAGGTAACTAATCTTAGTGGAAGAATAAAAGATAGGTCCACCTTATTGAATTTCTAAACTGCCTGCACAGAAAAATAATGACACATGAAACAGGTAGCGATGCACTTCCAACTGTATATATATGCCCAACTCAACACAGATGTTTGATTCAGTCGATCCGATTATGCTTTGTGACCGAGCTCCCTCACAGACCTGACTGTAGGAGGACCCAACTTCATCTCAGACAAATTAGAGGGTAGTATGTCTTATATACCAGGACAATGGCCTTAGTGATTCTCATGTACAACTCAACTCAGATTACCACTTACTAGTTTCTAATAATTCATTGTAACAACTGGACTGTTCTTTTGAATATAACACAGGTGGGTCAGTTCATCAAAATCCCAGTAAGGTCAGGTGATTGCAGGGTTCTTTTCTTTCTCTGGGCTGGTCCAATCCTCTAGGTTTCATATTTTCAAAATCATGCAGGAACATCAGATTCCAGTTTGTCGACATTACAATAAACAACTTTCAGTTCCAAACCTTATATTAGGCTTTTTCAGGGATATTACGTTCTGACTATATGTTGGAGATGTATGAGAATAAAATCTGCCCTGTAATGCAATGGGATATAAGATTAATCAAGCAAATACCTCTAGATGGCATGCATAAGCAAATGCACCAGCAATAATAGCTTTTCTTACTGCCTGCAGAATATCGAGATGATAATGTGTTTAGCATATGCAAATCAAAGCTTCAGTAAGTTATGGACTTATGGTATTAGTAACATGGAGGAAAAGAATTGTAAACAGAACTTAATAAAATAACCAGCTCTAAGATTGAAACAAACTAACAAAGATGTGGGCCAATGGTAGTTGTGTTAGTACAAATAGTGGTTTGCTCAGGATATCCCCACTTAATACATGTATTTACATATACTCTTTGCATTTGGATATATTCTGTGTTAACATAGGATTACATTATTAATGAATCACCTAAATAGTCAAAACTAATATTTTACACCCCAAACTATCCAAGTATAAATGCATTAAGTATTAAAATGAGGAAAAATTATGTTGGGCTAGAATAGAATAACTGCCACAGTGACATTATCGAAAGATGTACGAGACATTGGGATAAGCAAAATAATGGCTTCAATAATAACACCGTAGAAAAGAGACTATAAGTGATTTCTCAAAGAGCTGCTTAGAGGAGAGGGTGCATCTATAGCTGTAGCGAAAGACGTGAGAGTTAATTCATCTGAATGTTCCAAGGGGAACCCTAACTTCAATTTAAAGATAAGAGTGCAATCTGATTTTGTGCCTAAGGGTATTCTTCAGGTGAATATTATCACATGAACAGTTCCTCCCTGTACATTACAGTGGAATTAGAGAATACATTTGAGAGCTAATGTTCTCTAAGTACCAAAGCAAATTAATGAAAACGTGAATCCTGTAAGTACCAATACAAATTAATGGAAATGTGAAACAATACCTCCATATCTCTATCACATGATGTTAGTGGTATGCCAAACCTCTTGATAATCCTGACAAGCTGCTCCCTGATGTCAATAACCTTCTTCTGCAGCAAAAAGGGAGAGGATTTTCTTCAAATCAATATGTGTAAGTGTAGCAATGTAAACAAAAAACATTGGATAAGTGCACAATCTCAAGTGTGAAATATCGTCTCTATGCAGTGAGCACAGACCAATGCTTGGTGGTTCAAAAAGTTCTTGTAACACCACTGACTAGATTTTCCAGATTGATGAAATCCTTTGTAGATATTCAGGAACGTCACATGATCTCCCTGGGGTACAAGATATATTCAGGAGTGTCAACAACGACCACAAAAAGAAACAACCAAGAACAAATATAGGCAGTTAGGTGCAATGCACACTTCTGACAATTTGTGCTCAGATAGTAACCAGCAGCACATTACTAGAGTCAACTTACTGGTCATATGCCCCCATCATAAATCAGTGCATAAAAGTGGTACGAGAAATCAATTGCAAACATAATAGCAACTGTCTAGTTCTGGAACATCATCAGAGATCAAGCATATTAGGATTTGGGTCTATTTATTGACAAAACACTCCTTTATTTTGTGTGTAAATATTAGCAGCAACTATATAATACCAGCTTAATGACTAATGAGTGAACCAAGGAAGGTTAGCAGCAAGTTGATCAAGCATACCTCAGCAGCAGCAAAACGGAGCTTAGCTTCATCAAACTCTTTTTTCACTCCTCTCATGGAAACCCACACAGACTGTACAAATCAATAGTGTCAGTACAACTGAAGATTAGAACAGCCCAAAGCATAAAGAGTACACAAGTAGCAAACAAAGAAGCATCTTAGAGAAGTCCTAACTTGAACAGATAGAAATGCTGCTATGGTCAATATCTCATCAGAGCATCCGAAATTATTGGCTGAAAGGATCATTTTTGAAATCATAGGGTCCTGCAAGAGATTAGAATGTGCATATAAATATCTTGAGAGAATTGTTCGCCATAAAAGTACATTTAAGTAAAAAGATAACAAAAACATTTGAAGAAGTATAATAGGACATGAGTCCTTCAGCTTCAAGTATAATGACCAATGCAGCAGCATGATGTCAAACGCTGTCAGAACTGATATGTAATAAAATATGGCAAGGTAGAGACATAGTCATCAAACAACCACCACAGTTCATAAAGCTTAGCAATACAGTAGAACATATCGAAATAGTTATTGGCTGCAGGAAACAGATACTTACCACCATGCATCTATCGAAGCTAAGAAGATTAAGTAGCAATTTGCAAATGTACTTTCATGAACAATTTAGAAAGATACTATAATCCAGCCTACTCCCACAAGGACTATTCTGGGCTAGCAGTTACAATAATCATGCATGTCCTTAGTTTGTCTTTGAACATCAGTCTACACAAAGACGTAACTGTTCTTAGTTTCACAATGACCTTAGTGCTTAGTTAATCATAGTACACATATGTCCTGTTTTACCATAACATCGTTCATTCTATATGACCTAAATGTTTTATTCAACTCGAGATACTTTAATATGATACATTCTTCAACTGTGAGATGTACTACATCCTAAATAATTGCTGTTTTTTTCAACGACCATTAAAGCTGCAACATCATTTAAAGAGCCTTATTACATTTCTTACGTCCAAATCCATGTGTCCCCGCAGATACAATCAAACAGATAATAGTTTTTTTTTTCAATGAGCATTTAATTAAATCATGAACTTACGGAAGATTATAAATTATAACCCATGCTGTTTTTTTTTAGAAAAGTATCATTACTCATTAGTTATAGATAGAATTCACAACAGAAAAATAAAGTACTAGCTTGGTACTACAATAACTAGTTCAAGTAGTTAATTGTAAAAGGTTCTGAAAATCCAAGTGTAGATATAATTCAGGTCACAAAAATAAAGTAATAAGCTACATACCAGAGGGATCTCAGCAACTTGGAAGCCAAGGGGTACTGTTAGTTTGGCATCTTCATCAAGGATTCCCAGGGAATATAGAACTTCAAGAGCTCGAATCATTGCCTCTGGTGATGGAGAAGCTGGCCAATCAAATCCCAAAATGTTGTCTATTCCTAGAGCTTTCAACTGCCATCCCAGAATGTAATAATTCAATAATGCATCATATTAATAATTTCAGATAATATCTTATGTACAACAGAAACCAGCAACATATGCCATCATACAACTCAGAAAACAATACTCCCTCCTTCCCAAATTGATCATCATATATATTTATGCACCAAGACCAAGGATTATTTAAATCACATCAATCAAGACACCATGCACACAATCTCCCATAATGTATGCATCAATTAAAACACCATGCCAATTACACCTTAGCATGCACACATTCTCCCATGCTACATTAATTGTATTGTGATGAAATCCGTATCCATGCGGTTATATGATGATCAATTTGAGAAATTTTGAATTACATTATATGATGATCAATTTGGGAAGGAGGGAGTATAAATTAATCATGTCTATGTACATTTTTAAAGTTTAACATGCTTTAATGTTTAAAAGAAATTTTGTCTGATTTTCTGCAGTGTATTAAATTTTTGTGCACATCTTCCTAATCTCATGACTCAGCATGCCAAGCTAGACTTTAGCAACTTATTCATGACACAAGAATTCGACACAGTAGTAAAAGTTCCTATAGTTCTTCTCGCAAACAAAAAAAACCCTAATATTCTAAAAAGCTTTCAAACAAACCGTATAATCTCAATGTTTAACTGTTTAATCTATAGTCAGTTCCATTGACCACAAGTGGCCCAAACTAGCTGCACTCTAGCAGTCTAGGTTGAGGCTGACAAACATTATCAATGAAAGGAAAATAACTAATGGAAGATAGAAAATCCTTTTTGGTTGTACAATCAATATTTCCTGCGAGGTGTACTTTCCTAGTCTGCCAATTGCCAATTGGCAATGGCATACTCAAATAATAATACCACCACAAAACATCACTGTTCAACATGAAGAAATATTATGTGTATGATTTTTATGATATGCAATATTTGATTCAGCATACAAGGCCATAAGACTACAAGGTAATCTTTCGCTTACACACTGCTTACCCATTTTAAAATACTCAGCAAATTATTCTCTTTAGAAGAACTAATGGACTAAAAATATAGTAAGTTAGTAGTAACTATTGAATATGACATGTTCATGCATTATCCATGTATAGTATAAGCATAAAACTGTATTATTCGAGATAATTTGGAAAGGAAGGACACCTGTGTTATGCAGGAAACAAGGTTAGACCTTTGCATTTCAGGAATCCCTTCTGGCTGCATTTCTTTAAGGTAAAATTCCTCTGTATAAAGCCTGCAGCAGATACCAAACAATCACATGCACAAAACCAGGAAATTAAATATTGAACCTTAGCCAAGAACATTACAGTTTACAGAGCATTTGATCTATGAGTATAAATGTTCACCATCCACAAATATATAGTTTTTGACTTTCCACTGATTGCAATGCAACAATTTACAGTTTATATCATGTTGTGACAGGAAAGAAGAAAAAACATATATACCATTTCACATCTCAGTATATATGTGTTTGCATAGATCTTTAAAAATCATATACACTATTTCACATATTAATCTTTATGCCTTCGCATATACACTACTCCCTCCGTTTCAGGTTATAAGATGTTTTGACTTTGGTCAAAGTCAAACTGCTTTAAGTTTGACTAAGTTTGTAGAAAAAAATAATAACATTTTCAACCCAAGACAAATTTATTATGAAAATATATTTAATTATTGATTTAATTAATCTAATTTGGTATTATAAATATTACTATATTTGTCTATAAACTTAGTCAAATTTAAAGTAGTTTGACTTTGACCAAAGTCAAAACGTCTTATAACCTGAAACGGATGGAGTATTTCACATATCAACCTGTATGCCTTTGCATGTATCTCTATTACTTATAAAAGGAGGGGTTGAGAGAGATGATGCTCTCTACACAAACACTACCAAAAAAAGTGTGTGCCTGCATATACATAGACATCTGTGTGTTGTTCACTTGTTTGCAATCTTTTTAAGGAAACCGCATTCTTTCGGTAAGTGTATATGTAGGTGGTTCCATGGTTGATTATATCATACAATCTTTTCTATTTTTGTTATGAACTTTAGATATTACACTATATTTGTTTTGCATCCATCACAATTTGCGGGCAGAATGCTAGTTGATTGTCAAATTTTAATATATTGAGTACACTGACAAGGGACTATATGAATGCAGATTTATTCATAAAATATTCAAGATGAAGGATTGAAACATACAAAGAAAATAGTAGATAAAATAATAGCTCAAAGTATTCAGCAAGTCATCCAGAAAACACAGACTCAGGTAAATAGAATCATGGAACATTTTATAATATAATAATAAAAACACAACACCAGCATAACTGACCAAATATAATTGCCGCTAGAAGAGGATAGATACAAATCACTATAAGGGAACTATCAATAAAAACACAAACTTCAATGAGAAAACTGTCCAACAGACCTAAAGCACTTTCCTGGTCGCACCCTTCCAGCTCGGCCTGCTCTTTGTCTTGCGGATGCCTTGGATATTGGTGCGACAACTAAACTCTCGATATCAGAAATCTAGGCCAAAAGGATGCAAGTTATAGACAGGAAAAGGACTAAACCAAGAAATATACAAGAAAGATTAGAAAAAAGTTTACTAAAAAGGTTCTATGAAAAGGAACAAGAGTATAGATATATCTAGGGTAGCCAAATTGTAGAAGTGTAGTATATCTAGAAGAACAGTGGACCATATAATTGAGTATAAATAGAAAGCACCGGATTGTAACACTTCTGCTTGGAAAACCCACTATCAACAACATACACCACGCCCTGCACGACATTGAGAGCAGTTAGTAACAACCACCATGGAATTTGTTAGCATACATATACATATGCATTACCTCTAGAGTTAATGACGTCTCAGCAATGTTTGTTGATATCACAACCTTCCTTTTACCTTTTGAAGTTGGAGTAAAAATGAGGTCCTAAAATGCCAGAGAAGAATAGCTAAGCAGTAAACACAACAGATTTCACACTACAAAACTACTGATGATCACTTACTTGATCTCCCCGCGGAAGGCCAGAGTACAAGGGCAGAATCAGCAGGTCTGAGAATCCAAACAATATGAATGCATTAAAAACATGATTAATTACTCCAAGCAGAAAAAAGGTATATCAGCAAAGGACCAGAACATCCATTCCAAAACGTATTTTAGGATCATCTGGGAGTGACTAGTAAATGTTAGCTTAGTTTATTTCATTATTATATAACCATCAGAAGAATAACAACCTAAATAATGTCTTCCACGGTGTTGAATTTCTTCATTTAGCATCTTAACAGCTGCGTCTATGTCATCCTGGCCAGTTAAAAATACCAAAATATCCCCTGGTGGTTCCTGCATAAATATGGTCGATGAGTGAAGAAAATGAAATTTATTGAACAAAAAGAGTTGATTTTTTTTCTTTAAAAAAGAAAAAGGAGCTTAATGTAAAATGGAGAAGAATGTGGCAGAGTATTTCATTGACACTATTATGCAATTAAATATCGGAGATCCATGCTAATTTAATTGTGGTGCTATGATCACATCAGCTTGAGTTTCTTTTACCACTATTTTGATATCAAAGACTTCAAATTGAAGAGAGGCTGGGGGAGATCATGCTTGCAGTGAAGGTAAAATTTTCAACAAATGTCTATTAACTACAAAGGATAATTGTTAAGATTTGGGCACATGTATCTTCATGATAACTGCGATGGTAAAATTTTAGTTTTAGTGCTTACAAGACTGAGCATGAAACTACATGTACCAGTATATTGCTCCTAGTTAGGGATGCAAGTTTACCCACTTATGGGCACCCCATGACCCACACTACTCTATTAAGATATGTGTTTCTCTCATTTCCTAGTTCTGTAGTTCGTATTAGGTGCAAAATTATAAACCAAAGGAACTAGCGTGGGTCGATGGGTACCCATGGGCCAACCCATTTGCATCCCTTCTCCTAATCCGGTGTAGTTTACGGCAATTGACCTTCATTGTACTACAGACAGTAATCTGATCGAGTTAAATATTTTACTGGGAAGTAAAATGGCCTACAAAAGTATGTAATGACCATTGTTATGTTACAAGGAATCAATGAACCAGGCAAAATCAAGTCTAAAATAGGATATAAGTAAAACCTGAAGTCTAGGTAGTCATTTAAATCCTACTAAGAAGCATAATAATAACACAAAGAATTATCTATTATTTATCAGACAGCACGAAGAAACTAACCTTTTCGTGAATAATAAGTACAGTATTCACAGCAGCCTGTAAGTAGTCTGAAACAGGTTCTTCAACATAATGGATTTCCACTGTGTAACCTTTACCCTATAAAACAAAAATATAATTACATTATGCTTTTACTGGTAACAAAGGAGGCTGCCTTTGCTCAAGTGTGTTCCATTTTGAAAGGAGAACATACTTCCACAGAAAGAATAGCAGGTTCTGGGTTGGGCAAATGATCAGCAGACTCAAGCATAGAATTCTTTCGCCTGTATGCAATAGAAGATGAAATAAAAAATCCAAATATCAGACCCGCTGCTCACGCAAACTTGATAGACAAACTAGAGTGCATATAATGATCTCATGAACTTTATTAAAGTGATGGATGCATATAATGAAGCACCAAACAGCTGAACATGCATCAAAGTTAACAGTCATAAAACATCTCAGATTCTCAGGAATAAAAATTTTGGTGCATTTGCCCTGGTAAGGCATTTCTGTACTTTCATGCTGTTATTGATGAGAAACAGTCGAGAGAGGAAGGCATGATGCATGAGAAACCTATTGAGGCCAGTGTGCTGATATTTACATTCTGCTGCAGTGCTAACTATACCTGGTATTAATTTAATACCAACCAATACTATTGTAACAGTTTTATATCCCCTTGGATGCTTGGCCCATGGGTGTCATAGGACAGAAGGTAAGATCTAGTGCTGCAAAAGGGGCAGCAATCGATGGTGGAACATTAATAATGTTGGTTCTGCATCCTTAACTATGGTTACAATGAGGTTCAGACATAGTAGCTGTCTCATTGGGGAACAGTCTTATGAATTTCACAATTATTCACCAAACAGTCTTATGAACTAAATCACTTTATCAAGAACTTCCTGCTTGTGTTTACCTATTTAGTACTTCCTAAAGTACTATACATAAAAGCAACAGAGGGCAAAGATGAAAGAACAAAGCTAATTCTTACTAGATAAGGAAATGACCTAATGTTGAAAAAAGTTGACATGGATCTTGCTTCAATTGTTGCAGAGGATATGATTAGACGCAAGTCGGGCCGACGTCGTTGAATCTGGTATATATGATTATATTCATGTAAATATACAAGCATCGTGACAGATAAAATATTATTCACACGTGAAGATATGGAAAGATCAGACTAGCACATTCCAAAGATGAAAACCTTTTTCAGAAGACCCAGCAACATGTCAGTTGAAATGGATCGTTCATGGGCTTCATCAACCATAATTACACTGACAAAAAAAAAGAGGATTAGTGTGTGAATCAAAGAAACTAAACCATGCAAGACAATAAATAATACAGCTTAGTCATGCATTTTCTTAAACTAGAAAAAGGGTTTAATACCACTGAAAATATGTCACTCAAAGTATTTCACTCAAAACTTGTGCAATTGGATCAAACATGGTTCAATAATCAATACAAATGGACAGTTGACTACTTGAATGGCCATCTTATGATCATGTCGACGTTGAGGGTGATATAAACTGATACCTATACTTGGTCAGAAGAGGATCTTCCATCATTTCTCTGATCAATACCCCATCTGTCAGAAATTTAATCATGGTCATACCCTGCCAAACCAGGTATGTAAGGAATAAGCAGACTAACAGGAGAGAGAGAGAGAGAGAAAAAACAATTTTATTCTAATTTGTATTGACAAACGGTGAAGGAATACTGTAGATATACAACAATGCTTCATACTGCAGAATCCATATAAAAAAAACAGGCATAAAAAGGAAATGGGTCATACTGGATTTGTTTGATCCTCAAATCGGATTGTGTAACCAACTTCTTCTCCGAGTCTCACACCTACTTCTTCCGCTACTCTTGATGCAACTGACTGTTCAAATTACTAACATTATGAGTTGGAAGGCAATTATCAGATAAAAAAAAGAAGCATTTGCAGGTGCAATCTAAGAAAAGTAAAGGTCTATCAGAACTGGAGCATGAAAATAAGAATGTCATCTACGAATGAAACTGTAAAAAATTTCATTCAGTTGACATCCTTTAAGTCAGTAAACATGAAATTCTATCCACTAAATGATCTAGAATGGAAAGTGAAACTGTAATGGGCATGTTAAGGGTTGGCCCATAGGCCTAGTCAAGGTGTTCCTGGACCCAAGTGGCATGTCTGCATCATGGAGGCATTGACACCGCAAGGGCAATGAAAAGAGATGGAACATCAGCCTTATATAGAAGGGGTGACTTGACCCTTCATACACTCATCTTTTAAATTAAGAAAATGCAAACAACAACTCAATATAATCTTACCTCTAAAGATCAAATCCAAATAGGGATTGTGATCATTAACCACATGGACAACTGTTGCAAACAGTCTAATACATATGTTCGATAAGTTATTGTGGAAATGTGAGACATACTGCAAAAATACCATCTCTAATGCTTAAGAAGAATCTTCTAGCTCAGATGCCATGTTTATTTGAACTATTGGACTACACATGCAGGTATTTCCAATGAGGATGAGTCAACAGAGCACAACAGTGGCATGGTATGAGATCAAAGTGAAATAGTTCTCTGTAGCCAAGAAAAAATAATGTCACATGTCATCATCAGATGGTCAATCAGAAAGACATGATTTTGTGTAGAATCTAGAGACAGCTGCAAAACTAAATAAAGGTTGCAAACACTGGATACCTGCACGGCCAATCGTCTTGGTTGAGTGCAGCCTATAAGTCGACCACCCTCGGCCCATCCAGCCTCTTTAAGGTACTGATAAAAGAATACAATGAAGCCAGAAATGAAAATCATTTGCCAGTAAGATGGTGGGAAATTATGTAGTGCTGATTCAATATACAATGAAGATGGAAAGGGAACATCATCCGCCAGAAGACAATGGCAGATTATATGTTGTTTGCAGTTTTCATGGGCTTTTAAAGTAAGTAACATTTAAACAAATTCCTCTAGGTGATTTGAAGGCCATTGTTCATGTTTACTATGATATGTCTTTATATTGATATATGTCCCTAGAATATGACATACATTAACAGAAGGTGAATATAATCAAACAATAGCACCAAAGTGATTCAATTAAATGCAGAAAGCAGGAAAATGAAACTGGAGATCCAAGCCATAGCACATGCTCTCATCCAGTCAAGCACCCAGAGCTCATAGCATAGGCCAGTCTTGCACACAAGGTGTTTTTACTCTCAGTCTCTCTTACTAGGGAACAGACATGAGGTATTCGGTGGAATCAAAACGAATTAGTCAGACATGACATGCAAGTATTCACAATTTTGAAATGTAACCTTCCACCATGCTGCCTAAGGCACCCAGACAAAAGTGCATGCAGGTGCAGCATAAACTGCGGATGCAACTACGTATGCACCGGTCGCACGCAAGCAAACCCAGGTGTTCGACCAAATGCCTCGGACAGATCTCTCCGCACACCAAGAAAATCGTCCCAGTGGCAACTGCAATGGGAAACCGAGAGCCATTCATACGCCTAGAACACATACCTGAGGGATCTGCGTGGACTTTCCGCTGCCGGTCTCGCCGACGACGATGGTCGTGGCGTGCCGCTCCACCAGGTAGAGGATGGCCTTCCGGTACTTGTACACCGGCAGCCGCTGCCGCTGCCGCTCCAAGCTCGCGTACCCAAACCTAAAACCAACCGCGGCGAGAGCAGCGGTGAGCAGCCACACCTTCAGAAACCGCGAGTAGCGCGCGCGACAATGCGAGAGGGAAGAGGGGGGGTTTAGTTTAGGGTTTGGGGGAGCACCCGGATGAGGAGGAGGAGCTGGTGCTTGTGGGCAGGAAGAGGACGCCGCCCTCCTCGTCCTCGACGATCGCCGCCGTCGGCTTCTCCGACCCCGGCCTCCAGAACCTCGACATGGCACGCGCCGCCGCTTCTCGTCGTCGCCGGTGGGGAAGACCGTGTGTCCGTGTTGTGGTGGATGGGGGAGCGATAGTGTGGGAGGCCCGCCCACTGCCGGTGCTTCAAATGGGCTTTTGATTTGGGCCCACCTTGGATGGGCTATTAGGCTTTGGAATGAAGAACAAGTCTATTTTGCTTGATAACTCTATGCTCCCGATTAAATCGTCTCCTTCAACCGCAATACTGGATATAACTCCACGTTTATCTCCGAAAACGAAATAATTTGCTTTGGTTTCAAAGATTGAGGAGGCGTTATATCCGGTATTGTGGTTGAGAGAGGCAATCCGATCCGGAGTAAAGGTTGAGTGTGGTAAAATAGACATATGAGGATTGTTGCCCGGTTCCTGAGGATTGATGGGCTAAAATCAAACCTCACACATGCGATGGTGCTGGGCTTCTGGAAAGTCGGTTCGATTCACAGCCCAAGGCAGCCAACTGAATGTGCTACAGTGGTGTAGCTTAGATTGTTCCTAAATTTTCTTATCACACAGTAGTCGCACATGCACAATATCACATTTTGACTTGTGCAAATACGCTCCCCAACACAAACTTAAAAAGACGAAATCCCACGATATATCATTGATCTCACTAAAATCATATTAAAAGCCCACCTTCATAGGTGTAGTCATACACCCACAACTCCATCACCATATTACTATTACTTCTTTAGTTCGCAGTGACATTGTTTTCCTCTCACCAGTAATCGATAAAAGGTGAATGCCAACGGCTAAAAGGTAGGAGCTGTACTAGAATAAAGCACCTCGACAACATCCATGATAAGCCATGAATTCGACGATCCACTCTATTCTCTTTAATCATGCACTCTGTATATAGGTTCCTTGCTATCAAAAGTACATCTATTTGTTCCAATCACAGGATCGAGTTAATCGTCCGGAAGGGCTGGCCTCGTAATCGTAGGTTGTTCGTGTCGATCAGATCATATCGATCGATGGATTGATCGAGCGGACGTATCCAAAGGCGACACCACCCCCAATTTGGTGATCGAGGTTCCATGCATGCACGTCTCATCATCGCTTGCTTTCCGTCCATGCACGACAAAAGCTGACCAAATTAATCATCAATACGTACATCTCTGGGGTCAATATATGCAGATATGTTCCGAGTGCCGAGCCATTCTGTCTCAACTCTCAACCCATAGGATCAAATTAGGAACATAGGTCTATTCTAAAGATGTTAATTAAGCTGCGTTCGTTCATCACATCTCCCCTCCTCTGTTCCATCTTTTTCCTTATTTTTCCTAAACTTTTAAAGATATACGTTAATAAGTTGTTTCGTTTTAGGTATGCATCCTAACCCAAACTGAATTTCTATCGGAAAAAAAAACCCAAACTGAATTTTCTTAATCATCACGTGTTTTTCACGCTTACCTCTCATGCTCGGCGCTTTCTCTCCCACGTGTCTCTTCCTCTCCCCCAGCCAGATCTGGTCCTGCCGCTGCCAAAGCTGACCGGCGTTTGCGCGGTAGCCAGGACGGTGGCGGAGGGGAAGTGGGAGGCAGAGGTGCGGCGATGGCGGCCAGAGGCAGCCGGTCCTGCGCCTGGCCGTGTGGGTTGGGGATGGCTGGAGGTGGTCAGGAGGGCAGCGGGAACCGGCAAGGAGTCGGCGATGGAGTCCCTCCGGACGGCGGTAGGGACAGCGAAGCACGGCGGAAGATGGTGACGGCGCTCGGCGGCTACGGCAGCCCTAGGGGCTGCGGCGTCCCAAGACAGTGGCAGTCTGAGCACTGTGAATCCGATAAAGTGGAAGCTGATCCCATCGGTTCGTGTATGGTTGGCTAGTTTCAGCTAAACGACGAATGACGACGCATGAAAGTGGGCTAACTGGCGGCATGTGGCGTCAGCTTATCTGAAATGGATAAAGATGGCACCAACGGAGGTTTACATTGACGGCGCACTAGGGGCGGCGGCGACTAGACGACTTTCACTCGTCAAATCGGGCTGTTTCAGGAGAACAAGGTGGGACGTAGAGAAACAAGGATGTGTCGAGGTTGTATGGTTTTCTTTTCGTTTTTTGGTTGTGTGTTTTCCTCCTTGTTGAGGTGTGAGTCTAAATACTCACGTATCATTTTGGTTGTGTATATTATTCGTGGATATAGAGGCCAGATTAATAAAAATTTATTATAAAAAAAATCCTAACCCAAACTGCCGAAAACGGCTTTAGGGTGTGTTTGAGGAGAAGGGGATTGAGGAGATTGGGAAGATAAGCAAAACGAGGTGAGCCATTAACTCATGATTAATTGAGTATTAACTATTTTAAATTTAAAAAATGGATTAATATGATTTTTTTAAAGCAACTTTCATATAGAAAATTTTTGCAAAAAACACACCGTTTAGTAGTTTGGGAAGCGTGCGCGTGGAAAACGATGTGCATTCTCACTCCCTATCATCCAAACGAACGCAGCCTTAGAGCATCTCCAACAGGATGGCTATTTTTGGCTCTCCATTTGTCTATTTAGCCAACTAACCATAAAGATTCCTCTCCCAATCTGCGCAAAGACTCTCTAAATCCTAATGGCTAGTTTCCTCTCAAAAAATCCATATATTGCATTTAGTTCACACATACCATATCCATATATTGCATTGGTCCATACATTGCATTGCATTCAGTTCACTAAATTAAAGGTCCATACATTGCATTGCATTCAGTTCACTAAATTAAAGGTTCATACATTGCATTACAAAAGTTCACTAATTTAAAAGTCCATACACTACACTGCATACATTGCATTGCAATCAGTCCAGTAATTTAAAGGTCCATACATTCTATTACAAAAGTCAAATAATTTAAAGGTCCATGCATTGCATTGCAATTAGTCCACTGATTTAAAGGTCCATCATATTGCACTGCATTTAGTCCGTAGCAGTACACAAAAGTTTAGAGGTGATTAATTTTGATGCAAATAAAGATACCCCACTTGGAATCCTTAAACCGCTTACCAAGGATTTCAGCTTGCAATGAGTCATAGTACATTTTCCTTGGTCCAGTCAAGCAAAATAATGCAGTTCATACAAAATCAATATTGTGAGCACCATGCTTCTCCACGCACTTGCAAACGCAAACACTATAACAACAAGGTACATTTGATGCACACATATTTCTTTCGATCTTCAGAGTTGCACACATTACAGAGCAAATACACATTACAGTTGCACACATATTTCTTTCGATCTTTCGATCTACAGAGCAAATACAGAGGGGATTTTCGATCTACAGAGCCAATACAGAGGGGAAAGGAGTGGTGGATGGGGGTTTTACCTGCTTTGCTATGGGCATCGGCAGGGTGGTCTCAGCAGGGACGGCGGCGGCCTCAGCAGGTCCTATCGGCAGCAGTCAATGGCGGCTTCGGCAACAAAAGTGAAAAGACGACGGCGGAGGGGCGGCCCTGGTAGCAGAAGACGACGACGGAGGGGTGGCGCAGAGGGGCGGCGCTGGCGGCAAAAGACAACGGCGGTGGTCGACGGCGTCTTGGCAACAAAACACAACGGCAGAGGGGCGCCCCTGGCCGAGAGGACGCCGGCGGAGGGGTGGCGCACAGGGGCGGCACCGGCGGAGAGATGCGCGCGCTGGATCTGGGGGAAGGGAAAAACGCGATCTGTGGAAGAGAGGATAGGTGGGAGTAGTACACGTGCGTGGGCCCACGAATGGCTAGGCCTTTTTGGCTGGCCAAATTTGGCCAGTGCGAGCAGCACTTTGTCCAGCCGGATGGCTTGGCTTGGCCAGTTTGTTGGAGGACAAATTTTAATTAAAATTGTCAAAATTTAATTTAGAGAGTAGACTAAGGAGGCTGTTGGAGATGCTCTTAGTAGTAGTATCGAACATCGGGACATACCAAACGAGAGGGATTTTGGTCAAGGATTTACTAAAGTAGTAGTAGATCATACGCACACGTATATAAACAGATCCATGAATCCATATCCATGCATGCATACATGCACCGTCATCAGGATATTCCAACTCTTTTGGAGACAGGGTACGTGACAGGGCCCGAAAGCGATGTGCCTGCCCTTTTTTAGGCTCCGGCCGGAACTACTAGCGTAGCCATGCACCCTCGTAACCGAGCGACGAGATATATCGATCGCGATGTGGATGGTGCCGGCCGTCGCCGTCGCCCCGGCCAGCCGCCTGCATATATGCAGCTGCTGCTGCGCGCGGTGGACGCGGCTCGTGCATGTGGTGTCGCGGCGGTGTCGGGCCGGTCCCCGCGCGCCCCCGCCTCCACCACGGCACCACCACTCCGGTTTGCGCTGCTTGTTTGCTCTCCGCTCTCCCCTAATCATCTCCACATGCGACTTGTACGCACGTAGAGTAGGGGAAATTTACTCCATCAAGCGCTACGTGAAGCAAGATAGTGAAAATACGATCCGATTCGATGTTATCTCGTTTCCTATATCTCGTAGAAATAGTTTTAAAAAAACCGGGAATGCTCATTGGCGGGCGTCCGGCGCGGGGGGAGCCGGATCAGACGCTCCCCCCGCGCGCCCTCCCCCACGTGCGTACGGCCCACCTACTTCTCTATCTCATTTTTTCAACAAAAGATGTTTCAACTAGTGTATTTACAATGTTTCACTATTTATAGATATAATGTTGCAGTGAATTAAAATACTCTTTTACAATAAAAACTCACATATTTTGAAAATTCTCTATTAAGGGAATTTGGTTTATTTTTTGTTCTATAAAAAATGTTTCACCTAGTGTACTCACAATGTTTCACTATATATAAATCTAATGTTGCAGTGAACGAAACATTCTATTGCAACAAAAAAACCCATATATTTTGGAAACCCCCTATTAAGGGAATTTGGTTTATTTTTTGTTCCACCAAAAAATGTTTCACCTAGTGTACTCACAATGTTTCACTGTGTATAGATCTAATGTTGCAGTGAACTGAAACATTCTTTCGCTATTTGCTGAAACATTGTTTTTATATAAGGTGAAACAACACCCGATTTAAACGAGTGAAACATTTTCGATCTGCTCAGTGAAACAATTCCGATATACCTAGTAGAACATCGTGCAACATTTAAA